CTTTTCATAACTACAACTTAAATCAGCTATAATAATTCTGCCACAAATTACATATTTTATTTGGAAAAACTACAAAATTTTGCTCAGGGAAAATGTCAAATGTATATTTTGAAAGAAACAATGAATTTGTGAAAAAAAAGCACTGAAATAAGATCAGAAGAATTAAATTCTTGGGGAGTGCTTTTCTTATGTATCTGTGGTAATATCATAAGTCTCTATTACACTGTCAGTAATATATAATTATTACTGATATAAATATCAGTAATAATTTTATTATCAATAAAATGGGTCTAATGATAGTTTTTTTTAACTTCATAAGTTTTTTGTAAGGTGAATATAGGTGATAAGTAGGAATTATTGTGAACTTTCATGAATAAATCCTCTGCATTATGAGAGGTTTTCAATATTATGTTGCTAAATGTTGCTACAACATTTAGAAATCATAGCCATCCTTCGGTATCTGCAAGACATTGGTTCCAGGAACACCTGCCTTCCCTCCCCTCCCTTGGGTACCAAGATCTGTGTATGCTCAATTCCCTATACAAAACCGCATAGCACATGCATATAACCTGTGCAGTTCTCTTGTATACTTTAAATCACATCTAGATTTCTCTTGATACATTATATGATGTCAATGCTACATAAATGTTTGTGATACTGTATTGTTTAAGGAACAATGACAAGAAAAAATTCCTTATGTGTTCAGCACATGTGCAACTTTTTTCAAAATTTTTTTTTGATTTGTGGAACCCATGGATATGGAGAGCTGTTATTATGTCTTATTTAATATTTTCAGGTGTACTTGAATGCGATCAAAAAATGCAAACTGGTATTTGACAAAATCACGTTTTAAGGATCCATTTTAATTTTTTACAAAGTAGAATTTAGAGTTAGCTTGTCATCCCTTTTCATATGCAAAATATGAGTCCTGTAAGGCCTACAAAATATTTTTTCTTTTCTTTCTTTCTTTTTTGTTTTTTGATCAACTGTTTGGACTCTTTTATGAAATTTCTTTTCAGACCACTGGATGATGAAATTTGAGGCCTAACATTAAAAGACTTTGCCAGATGCCTACTGATAAAGACATCCCTTTTGAAAAAGGCAAAGTGAGAAAAACAAGAGAGCGGGTAATATTGTTAGCATCTGAAGTTACACAGTCCTCCTGGTGGGAAGACAGAGGGTTGCAGAGTGGAGTGAAAATTCAAAGATCTGGCCTACCTGCAGGCTCTCGCTAACTGACTCAGAGGAATTGCTTCCCTAGGCAGAACATCGGTTTCTTCATCTAGTCAAGTCTACTCAAATGTATTCTCCTCTCTTTTCTTCTCTAGAGCCAAGAGAGAGCATATGGTATTTAGGTGCTCAGTACTGATGTACTCTACAATGTACGGTCTAACAAGGCACAGCCATTGGGTTCTACTCCTGACTCCACCACAATGTGAGGGCAACACGTGACTATGCTTCCTCTGACTTTGACCTAGTTCTCTATAAAACTGACTCAGTTACATTTGCTACCTGCCTCCTCTGAGGAGAGTTCACAAGGATTAATGAGATAATGATGCCAAAGGCCAGATCTTTTAATGGAAGCTGCTAATTACAAGCAAAGCACCAGTGGGTGAGTACATAACTAAAGTCTGACCCTTCATCTCTGTCAAAATGCTCCTGGAATGGGTGACATCATCACCAGATATAAAAGAACATTTTTCTGGAGAAGTGAAAATGAAAAGGGGGAAAAAAAATCAGGCCTTCAAAGAGTACGAGACAATTGCTATGCACATGAGAAGGGTGAAGGTAATGAACTTTTTTACTGCCCAGACAGAATCTTGCATGGGAGTGCAAAGGGAATTTTCTCAGCTCACTGAGAACAGAAGATGTCAGACAAAAATTTGCAAGATGTCAGAATGGTTGACAAGACATAAAAAGTTTGGGGAAAGGATATTTGGAAAGCAGATACACATGTTTCTGGTTTTATATCAAGTAGAATCGCTTCTAACCTGATGAAAATTTGGTCCACTGTTGGGAGGTCAGATATCTTTAGAGACTGTTTTACTTTTTTTAAAGGCAGAATATGCTTTATAAAATAGGAGGCACTCTGTGGGAATTTTTTTTTCTTTTTGGCTGAGATAGGAATCCTTTTTCTCTCCTTCTCACTAGGCTCATCTTTAGCCTTTTTTATTTTTTTTCCTTTACTTTGGTACGCAGAATGGGATTTAATTTCTGCACACTGAAGACTTCGTTGTTAGGTGAAATGCATGGTTCCTCATGAAAGGGACTCAAGGAGCCCTTAGGTGTGGTGGGCAGCTAAGGAACACTCCCTGCTGAAGAAAAGCTCTCTTCCCAAGGGGCCTGAACCAAAGAGAGATTTCATTCTTTCTTCCCGCCTCTTCCTTTTACCTCTCATCATCTGTCCTTCCTCTTATCGTTCTTGCCCTTCTTCTTTTCTTTTTCTCCAACTAATTTCTACTGATTATTACCAAGTAACAAGTCCTGGGTAAGGCCCTAAATAAACAGGTATCATATTTCTTATTGGCTTAATTACTTTGATTCTCAGTTTTGTGCTTTTCCTGAGATGAACAGGGCCTAGTATTGAATGATTCCAAGTTGTCTCCCACACATCAGGGTCTGTTGGTACAGGAACACAGGTAATAAGAAAATTCCATGTGAGACTTCTCATCTTCTTAGCTACCTCTGGGAATAACTTTTATGGGATATTTGTTAGCAGGTATTTTGAAAAAAAAAAAGATAATACTGGTTAAAAAAGTTATTTCTTATACTGACTCTTCTTATACTCAACTCCCCATCCCCACTCGATAGAGAAGCCTAGTTTTCTTAACATTTCTCTGATTAAAATGGATACATGGAATTATTCCTTTAGAGTCCACAGAAGCCTTTCACTGACTTGGCCTCTGTAGTCAGAGCCAAGAAAAACCATAAGAGGGAACTACAGCACCTTCCCCCATCACCACACTACTCTAACTGCTGCTCAGTTAGACCAGCAGCCAAGATTCTCCTGGTAAGAGCATTTACAGTATTGAGCTCATTTCAGATGAGTTCTGATCTTCCATTGCATGACAGAAAATAGTTCCAGGTTCTCAGGAATGAGGCTGTATATGCCTCCATGTCCAGTAGATATTGTTCTTTACTCAGCAGATTTTTAAACTCATCTCTAATCATCTCATTTTAAACATAAGATACTGCTAAATGGAAAATATATACATATATAAACATATCCTGAGGAAAAAATTAAAACTTGGACTGGTTATGCTAGCATAATTTTAGAATGGAGTCTTATTTCAGCCTTGGAAATTATTTTCTTTTTCAGATACCAAAGCCTGGCAAACAACTTTAAATGTAAGAATCAGGTTTTATGTTTCACATTATATGATTTTTCAAATTATCAACCAGTGGGATGAATTTAGGCAAATATTAAAGGGGTGTCATTCTCAAAGCAATCTGACCATCATCATTACAGAAAGAAGGTGCCTTACTAGTCAAAAGGCCAAGAGAGAGGGCACTAACTAGAAAAACAGAAATACAGCAAACACCGACATTTCATGTCTATATTTCAACTACTGTATTTATTTCCCATTAAAATGGTTAGCTAGCATTCTTGGTTATTGCCCATAAAATCATTTTAGTGAAAAACTAAACCACTGTTTTAGGAGTTTATTTATATTCTGCCAATACATATGGAAAATAATTTTTTTTAAAAAAAATCTGCTTAAAGATGTAGTGAATTCACTGTGCTAAAGTTGGATTCCAATTTCAATCACATGATTCACTAATCATGAAGTAATAAGTAACAATATCAATAAATAGAAAAAACTTTCATTTGGATTGTGCCTCAAATGTACAATTTTTTTCATATACACTATCATTCAATTTCATCATATGCTTCCTGGGACCCAGTTTTCCTATCTGGAAAATGGGGATAATAACTCCTATTCTGTCTATTTCACAGAACTACTGTTAGGATGAAAGGAATTAAGTAACTGCATTTAGAACCACAGAGCACTATATGGTAGTATTAGAACCATTTGTGGGAAGTGTGCCATGTAAACAATACTAAGGGTCAAGAAAAAAAAATAAGACTTGAGCTAATTTGACATTGTGTGAACCTTGGGGCACCATATCAAGACTTTCTAAATATTTCATATCCATGCACAATTTCTGGGTCTCCAACAAATTAATAATATTAACCACAGGTCTGTGGATTAAAGAAATGCTGGCTGCAGATGCATTTCACAGTCTTATATCTAAGAAAGTTAAGTTAGTGCTGGGCATGTAGCATACCCCATAATCTCAGTGGCTTGGGAGGCTGAGGCAAGAGGATTGCAAGTTCAAAGCCAGCCTTAACAATTTGGTGAGAGCTAAGCAACTTAGCAAGACCCTGTCTCAAAATTTAAAACAAATTTAAGGGGGGAAGGTGTTGGGTATATGGCTCCTTGGTTGAGAACTCCTGAGCTCAATCAATCCCTGGTTTAAAAAAAAAATTAAATTGAGCTAGTATTGGATGATTCCAAGTTGTCTCTCATACATCAAGGCTGTGAAAGATGTTAGAAAATATGCATTTACAGGAAGTTTTATTTTTCTCTTGGGAAATGACTACAGCAATTTTCTCTGACACTGCCAAACCCTATCTCTTCCCATGTGCTGAAAATGACAACAGAAGAAAACTAGATGTGGTCATGCACATAACAAAGTTCCCTGTTACATTCTTCTCTTTACCTTCTCAAAACATTTTTTTTTTTCCAGCCTGAGACACACACTCCACACATGCCCTGTAGTCAGGAAAATCTATAGATGCTTAAATGCCCGGAAGCATTTCTCTTTCAGTTCTCAATAGCTTTATCTTTGTGCTGAAATAAAATGCTTTTCAATCAGAATCCCCTTTCTCAGCACCTAGCAATGTATACAGATGGAACCTGTCCAATCCAAGCAGAAAACTCAGGAAAAAACCCACAAAGTTTCCCAAAACATGACAGAACTAAAAATGCATTTACCTGGGCAATTATGTCCGTAACTTCTGAATAACTATGGCATCTTCTCACACAGGATCGAGCTAAAAAGTCTTCAATCAGCCGTGTTCCAATGCCATAACCCCTGTGGATGAAGGAAGGAGTGTGGTCTGCACACGTGGATAACAAATAAACCAAATATAATGAGTCAAATGGCCTTTGGCAGTGGGCTTTGTATCTGTCCCACAGAAGCAGAGAGCAACAGATCCAGGAAATATTAACTAGTCTCCTCTAAGCATAGGAGCCTGACTATAGTGAGACTGGCAAACTTGACAGTGGCAGTTGAGGAAAGCTGGTGTCTGTAGCCTAATGTTACCTACCAACAGAAATAGACTGAGAGTCTAGCCCTCTTGTCTGCTATGGGTGTGGGCCCTGGGTGCTCACTCTTAGCACAGTTAGGAGGGCAGGCTCTGGCAGATGGAAAACAAGGATCAGAGAAATACTTTTCATTGCTAGTGAAGGTCTTAGCAGTTGGGACTCTGAATTTTACTGTATGTGTGAGTGAGTGAACCAGGAGAATAGCCAATTAAGAAAGCTCGTGTCTCTTTCTAGAGAAGCTGGAATGATGGATCTTGGGGTGGAGGCGCTGTTATCTGTTAATGGTACCCCAAGTAAGTGGTTTGGACAGTGCCTGAAGTACAATTCTGAGAGCCTTTATTGATATGTGATAACACAACTGAATATGTGGCTAAGATGGTTAAGCACACTCCTTGAAACTGTGAAATTTCTGAAAGGGACACCAAAAAAAAAAAAAATCAGTTTCTTTCATATAAAAACTTGCAATTCAGTTGAAGAAGTAGAACCTTAAGGGTGAAAAATAAAGGGAATGCTGTTTTTGTCGAACCAATGGGGAAAAAAGTCTTTAATTTCATAGCCATAAGTACATACACAAGTAAAATGATTTGGATAGAGCAGCAGAGGGCCCAACAAACTAAAGACATTACAGTTTTTAGAGGTAGTGATTGTTTCAGAGGATCTAAAAAAAAGCATGAGATCATTGGTGACTTGGGGGAGATGGATTTGATGTCAGTGTGAGCGCCAAATCTAGTGAGATGTTCTATTTATATTTATGAGTGGATAGAAATAGTTCATTTAGCTTACTTGAGACTTCTGAGGAAAAAGTGATTTATAATTCTAACCCGGATGTGTTCACACTGAAAAGATACTTGAAGAACAGAACATTTACTTTAAAAGAAAGTTAAACTCATTTTAAAAGATATTTCCAGTATTTTCTATTTATCATTATGCAGAGCTATAGACTTAGCCACTGGAACAGCGATGAGAAGCCAGAGGTTATGAGCAGTGCACTATACTGCATGTCTTGCTTTGGTCAAAAAATATGATTCTACAAAGTAGATATTTATAAATCAATTTTAAAATATAAGACACTCCCAGAAGCTATTAAAGAAATTCAAGTGTGATTTTTTTTTCATAAAGCCTTTCTACAGCCTCTCCAAATTTATTTTTAAATAATATTCCATTCACATTTGTTCAAATGTGCACTCAATTAGTTCAGTTAAATTTAAGTTTTAGTTAAATCAGCTTCTTAATTTTCTTCAGCTACTCCACAAAACAATGCAAATGTAATGTAAGTCAAATAAATGGATAACTTTTGGGAATGCTACTACTGTCAGATGTTGAAGT